TTTTATCGAGGTACCGAAAAAAATACTTGGCAAATTAAAGCAATGCAATATATGATGTTACTTCTTTTAAGCCGTCTCCAAGATGTATTCTATTTACAAATTGGATCCTGTAATATATATACTTCTTTTAATGCTAGTAGAAAATTACACTTATATCACGAACGCTAATCTACTGAAAAGCCTGACAGTGATCTTGTCCAAGATACTCAAGTAGACTATTAGCTCGCGATTTTCCAAGATATATGGGTTGTATATTAATTTTTTGGTGTTCAAGCCCTGTACGAGCCCCTTTCCATATCAGTTGGCCCACCTATGGAATGTGCAGTTTAAGTCGATTACCATAAACAAATTATACTCTGCATGTTTTCATTAAGTTCCCATATTAATTAATATGGCATTTTTATTAACCCTCTACCGCATGGAAATCCATATATGGATTCGGTAGTTTACTATTTTTTTTTGTAAGTTTAAAGTTCAGCACATACGCAGGCATAGCATAACGTGAACTGTACATTTGTTTGGAAACCTCTATATATTTTTAAAATCTGGCAATTCTGCTAGACAAGTCAACCCAATCAATTTAGTTACAATATGCTGTGCATTGCGATTTTTTAGAAAAAGTGAGAAATTTATCTTCAAACATCGGCGTTTTACAAGTAAGTAATCAATTTTTTTATTATTTCATGTCTAATTGGTGTTTGTTCTTTATAAGTTAGATGATATTTAGTGATTACATATTTACTTGGGTTTGTCAGAGAAAACGACATTTAGTGATCATCCATATATGGCTTCTTATGCATTATCGTAAAAAGTACACAGATTCTGTCGAAGATATATATGACTTTGTATGCATTTGAAGAGTAATTTATGTAGATATTATTTGTTTTCAGAAATGGATCCCCAAAGGTTTTATCGCAGTTCTAAATATGTGAACACTATTTCCAGTAAACAGAAAAAATAGAACAGGTAAATGAGTATATCTATCTAGGACAAGCAATCAGAGCTAATAGAGAAAATCAAACAGCCGAAATATCGAGAGGAGTAAGAATGGGATGGGCAGCGTTCGGAAAACTTTCTTACGTTCTAAAAAATCAAACAATCCCTCTATACTTACGAAGCAAGGTATATAACTCCTGTATCATACCGGTGCTCACCTACGGAGCACAGACATGAACATTTACACAAGCCAATTTGGATAGGATAAGGAAGGCACAAAGAGCGATGGAGAGACAAATGTTGGGTGTATCACTTAGAGATAGAAAACGTAACCAGTGGATCAGAACCAGAACAAAGACAGTAGACGCGATAGAACAAGCAGCAAAACTGAAATGGAAATGGGCTGGACACAATGAACGTCTCCAAGACGGACGATGGAACAATGCCATCGGAAAGTGGCGTCCATACAATGCAAAGAGATCAAGAGGCAGACCACAGATGAGGTGGAAAGATGACATCAGGAAACAAGGAGGTCCCACATGGCAGAGAACAGCTCAAGATAGGGAAAGATGGAGAGAACTGGAGGAGACCTATATGCAACAATGGAAGGATAGAGAATAGGTTCAACAAAAAAAAATCCCAGTGATGGAGAGTTAAGCGACGATGATTATACTGATTCAGACGAAGAATATTTACCTTCTTCGTCTACAAAACAATGTCTTCAGTCCGTAGTAGTATCTGAAATTGATTATTCTGACATAGAGACATCTGATGCCGAATCAAAAGTTAACGATGTAAGGGCAACTATCTCAATAGGACTAAAACCAGCAGACAAAAATAAATCAATATCTACATCTAAAAACAAGAAAAAGAAAATATTATGGAAGAAATCAAAATTGAAGAGTTATTATGAAAATGATTATGCTTTCTTGGGAGAATCTGAATGGCCAGAATGCATGCAGGTATTGGAGAGTCCTATAGACTTTTTTAAATTCTTATTTAATGACGACTTATTGGAGTTAATAGTTAATGAGTCAAATTTAAAATCAGTGCAAGATAACGTCAACAAACCCGGCAACATTACGAAGTATGAAATTGAACAATTTATTGGAATGTCAAATGCATTTTGTAGTGTTGTAAGTGTTGTAAGTGTTGTAAGTATTGTAGGTCGAGGTAGAAGTTATTGATGAGAAAATTTATTCAATCATGATTAGACTTTTTAATTCTGAAAATCCAATTCGTAAATCGTGAATATGTTGCAATTGTCGCGCTATAGTGTAAGAAATATAGTCACAATTTTAAAAACTACAGGTTCGGTCATCACAAAACCTAGAAATGTACGAAAAAGTGAAATAACCGAAGCAGGTCGAAGGTCATTAAGACGCATTATAGTGAAAAATCGACGAGCAAATTATATGGAGTTAAGCGTTTTATAGAGTGACGCTATTGGAAGACACGTTTCTAGATCAACATGTCACCGAGAGGCCCACAAATGAGGATTTGGTACTTACAAAGTAAGTTTTATAGTTGAAAAAATTAGTACGAATTGTTTTTAATAAGTTTTAATTTATTTTAGGCTAAGGAAACGCCACTTTTACATTACGAGAAAAGAAAAATAGACTAAGATGGTCAAAAGAGCATAAAGATTGGACTCAGTTGCAATGGGATTCAATACAATGGAGTGATGAGTCCAGATTTGAAGCGTGTGATTTGAGGCAGTAGGAGTTGCATCATTCACAGGAAAAATTAAGCTTACCATCCCGACTGTTTAAAAAAAAAGCAAATCTGGTGCATCATGTCGTCTAAAGGTGTGTGCTACTATCTATGGGATTATAAATAGGGACAAACATTTGAATATTTTAAAAGGATCTCTTTTACCGATTATGGAACACCGTTTTACATCAGCGGAAGAGTTTGTCTTCCAACAGGACGGCGCAGGTTGTCATATCTCGAAAAAGAGTTTAAAATAAAGCATACCACTTCTGGAAAGGGTTTCTAACAGTCTCGACTTGTACCCGATAGAGACTTTGTGGCAGCGAAATGAAAAAGCTTTAAGAAAACATCCTGCCTGGTCCGTCAACGAATTGAAGGAAAAATCGCTTTTATTTTTGTTCTCTATAATTTAATTTTCTAACGTTGGCCAACTAATAAGGGAAAGGCTCGTATATTATTCCTTGGAAGTGGGTAAAATCCCAAATCATGTCATTTTCATTGCACAGACTCATATAATTAGGTTTTATTTAACTAAAAACAAGTTTTCTTCAATGAAAATTAAAAATATCAACAATTTTGTTCTCTTTCACCTTTTTCCTAGTCAAATAAAACAGATTTTTTTAAATTGTTGAATCAGTTAAACTTGAACTAGATAGGGCTATAGCCGGATTTGACAGAAGAGGAAGATCCACAAGTCGAGCAATTTATTCCATTCTGAACTTATTAACACACTATATAAAGGGACAAAATATAAACAACCCACATTTTGCATAACACATTTGGAAATTTACAATTTACTCCAATTGTCATACAAATTATGGATCGATAAATTGAAGTGGATTCATTCGTATTATATATTTATTCAGGTACTGCCGCTTTTGATACATTAATAGGCACTTCTGTATCCAAATATGATAACAGTATCCAAACCAGAGGTTTTAAAAATGGTTTAATATTCAACAGGCAACAATAATCATTCTTTAACGTTTAGAATACAAAAAATGTAACAATTTATACGTAAACAAAGAAAAAGCACCTTTTTCCACATAAGGCAATAGGAACGTCACTTTCATTCGAGAATATTTCGCAAAAATATCGATTACAAGGTTATTAAATCCATATCTTCATAATAATGAAAAAATTACAGATGTGTACACTATTGCAAATAAATCACTGTACATATTCCCAATTATAAACAAAAAATCGGTGTATATCAATGATAATATATACGATTTACTAGTCTTAGACAGAATTTCATTGATCTGAATCTTTCCGTTAAGCTTGTAATGGTATATCAGAGATGATACCCTTCTTTTTCTTCTAGTAAACTTCTTTGTTTACAGTTGGAAATATGTTGAGTATCTATTTTAATGGTTATTTAAATGTTTCTTCAAAAATATTAACAAATCTATGTTTTATGTCCTTCCACAGTAACTACTAAATGACAAAATGATTATTGATCGATTTTCATTATTACAGTAAACTCAACACATATTTTCGTGTCAAATGTTACTACTTTTTATCCTTAGCTTCATTGCTAACGTTTGTACTTTAAGTGAGGTTTTACAAAAAAAATTATACAACGATATTATCGCCACAAAACTTTTGACGAAACAAAAACTGGTACGCTACTACAAAATTTGTTGTATATTGCATGGTTTCAGTTGCTTATTGGAATGGTTTCGTAAGGTTCAGTCTTCTAAATATCCTTGCAAGAGTATTTACCTCTAAGTATAATGCAATTCGTAGAATTTGCATATTATATTTTCTCTAAAGCTCATTTAATATCAATAAAACATATTAGTGGCTCTAAAAAATGCTGCTCATGTTCCAAGATTATTTTTGAAGCATATTTGTTAACATCTCTCTCTGAACCCTATTTTGTAGGTATAATTTTAACGATTTCAATAGTTGCCTCCACTATTCCGGACACTTTTGGTTGTAAAGGCTTCAGACAGCTCTTTAATATTCCACAAAACTATATGAGGTTCCAAGGCAGTTTGGAATGTTTTTGGTGATCCTCACATCCAACAGTTGAAGAATCTCTAGAGCGTTTCAGAATAACTGGTTATTTATATCTAAAGGATATGCCTTTAGAAGCTTCGGAAGTGATCCAACGATTTACGGACTTATTTCTAATAGTACGTAAAATTTGCTACGGGATTTGGCAGGTACCGTTACTGCCTAGAATATTCCAAGGAATCTAGGAGGTTCTAGACAGCTTTAGAAGGTTCAAGGGCTTCCTGGAATGTTCCTGATTCCATTGTCGTATCGAGCAATCCCAAACAATTTTTGTAGTAGCAGTTTTTATAACTGCATCTTTATCTATGTTACCAAACTAAATCCGAATGCTATTGGTGGCTCTTACTTAGAAGATGAGAATTAAATTCATAAACATTTGAACATTGTTCGCCACAAATGTTACATTTCCAAGGGTTGGCATCAGAGTGGCAGCCCTTGTGTAAAAAATAGAGAGTCTGGTCAGGGAATCCGATTCCACAAAAGATGCACTGAAGGCCATTTAACGCTCTTTTGCTCATGCGACTCCAGAGGGAAGAATCTGAAGGCTGTTCGAGACCTACAAATATAAAAGTATAAGAGTTATTTAAAAAACAATATTTGGTCAACGCCATGAATAAGTTTGTTTGATTCTAATTGAGACAGTCACTAGATGTCACCACTCTTTCTGTCTTAATAGATTTTAATATACAATCAGATGCAAAATAACGCAATTTCAATTTTTTTATTTTTAGCCCTATTTTGATGATTTTTTAAAACACTGTATAAATTTATAAATTTTAATTTAATTTAATTTATAATTATCCTAACTTTAAAACATGCTGTGGAACAATTCCGTTTGCGAATTTTCGTAAAACCTTATTTTTCGCTTGCAACCATGTCTCCTAAGCATTGTGTTTTTTATTTCATGTTAAAATATGGCTTGGTTCATTTTTTAGAGCCATATGAATTTGCCATCCACAATTTATAACTTTTTTAATTATGATTATTTTGGAGTTATTTTGTAATACGACGAGGTGACTTTGGTGAATGTTATCATTATGTCATATTGACACTTACATTTTGTTTACCTATGGTTGATCATGGTTCTTAATGTCGAAGATTGTGCGAAAGCCGTTGCTCTGGTTGAAGATAGGAGAAATTATGAATATTTGGCTAGAATACTACACACTCATCGCTTTACCATTCAAAGGGTAGTGGAACGTTTTACGTTTGTTGCAGACCAGCAACTGGGCCCAAATTACTTCCACAGCACAGAGTGGCTAGACTACAATTTTCCGTGGAACATTTACATTGGAATTTAGGACAATGGAGTAATGTACTTCTTACGGATAAGTCGAATACTCCCTTCACTCATCAGATGGGAGAGAACGAGTATTACGTCGAACTGGAGAGAGATTTGCGGAGTGAGCTTTCAGTCCTCGCGCTACCCATGGAGGGGGTTAGGTGATGGTATAGGCAGGAATATCCTGTGAGGCGCACACTGGTATATTGAGGAAATATTAGCGAATCACGAAGTACCCTTTTCTAAATATGCTAATATCTAAGATAATGCGCGACCCAACTCTGTAATGTGTGTCACGCAATATTTAGAGAAAGTTGGTACTAATAAAATGAACTGACCAGCGTGTTTGCCAGATCTGAACCCAACAGAGCACGTTTTGGGACATGCTTGCTAGAAAGATTAGAGGTCGCGAAGTCGCACCGGTCTCAATTAACGAACTTAGCTTGGCTCTAAAGGAAGAATGACAAAACATCCAGCATGATGATATTCGCAACCTCATAGACAGCATGAGCCGACTTGTACAATGTACAGACAGTTATAGAGGCTAGGGGAGGCAATACAAAGTATTAAGTTATATTTTAGTAGTTTTTCTTTGTTATTTGCGTACTTAGGTTAAGTTACATTTAGGGCCGATTGTTTGAACGCTAATCAAAACTTGATTGTAATCAAATATTTAATTACAATCAAATACGTCACAGCAGCTGTCAAAATTATTAAAAATTGCTTATTATTATTATTGATTTGTAAATAAAAACATGAAATTAACATCAGACAGAGTTAAATTAACAAAAAAATGTGATGTATTTGATTTTAATTAAATATTTGATTACAATCAAGTTTTGATTAGCGTTCGAACAATCGGCCCTTAAGTTATTTTTTTTGTTTTGTTATTGTTATCATTGTTCATTAAAACCAAGATCATGTCGTTGCTTTTAATCATTATTTAAATAGAGTGCTTCTGGGATGTCGATATTCTTTCGATATCCGTCGCAAAAGCCCCCATCGTCGTATTACAAATTAATACAAAAGATAATGGTAATAATAGAAAAAGTCTTAAATTGTGGGTGGAAAAGTCATTTCGCTCCTAAAAATGAACCAATCCATATTTTTACATGAAAAAAAAACATAATAATTAGAACACATGGTGGCAACCGAAAAACAAAGTTTTACGAAAATGTGGTTTTATTTATACATATTTATCCAGAAAAGACGAAAAAAACGAAAGAATATATTACGGAACAGAAAAAAACGTATAAAAAAAGCTCTAAAAATATAATATTTTGTGAACATTTACCTGTGGAAGTTATAGCACCATTTGTAGTAGTTGCCGGGTCGGTGGGGGACTCTGAGTTAGCACCTGGTGAAGCTGTAGAACGTCCTCTAGTGCTAGAATTACTTCTTGATATGATTTTTCTTTTGAGATCGTCCCTTAGAAGACTTTTTAAAGGTGAAACCTTTATTAACGAACTTAGGCTGCTTGAAGTTGCTGATTGCATTTGAATGCCACCTAGTAAAAAAAAGTATAGGTATTTTTACTAATGTACAGGGATGTTAGAATAGTTAGGCTAGGTCAGTTAAGCGTTTGCTTTAACAAGGTAAAGGATTAACTTATTATATAACTGTCAGTGTAAAGTTGCGCGTCAAACAATGGCTTAACACGCTTGACGATCTCCTTCGTATGACCGTAAAAACTTGGATTTCGAGCTTCAAAAAAAGTAATTTTCCCATTGAGGATGAGACTGATCGAGAAGGCCAGTTTCTGGGCCCACTCCTCTAAATATTGATGCCGTTCATAAAATGATTTTTTCGGACGATCAAATTGGGCTAAAATGAATATCTGAACATATAATATGAACGCATCCATGATGTCAATTTGGGCATGAGAAAATTTATGCAAAATAGATCTCTATATGTCTGAATGTTGACGCATGAAAGTCCACAAGTATCGTGTTCTTTCTGCCCTCAGTTTATAAACAATGCAAACTTATTAAGCTGTGTTGTTACTATGAATGAAACGTGAATACATTTCTACGACGTAGAAAAAAGCTGCAATCAGTGAAATGAAGACACTCTGGTTCTCATAGAAATTTCGGGTTCAAAAATCTGCTGAAATAGTAGTTGCTTCAGGTTTTTTTTTTTTGGTATTGTCAAGGAGTAACCATGATTGAATTTATGGATCAAGGGAAAACAATAACTGGGAATTACTATACAAAATTACTGACCACTATACGAGAGAAAATTTTAGACATAAGGCATGAAAGGTTGTCCAAAGGTATATTTTGGTTCTTATTATAATCAATTGAAAAGTTTACAAGATGTTACGTGTGGTCTGTACTTTTGTATGGATGTGAAACTTGGACTTTAAACGCCGATATCATGAATAAAATCGAGGCGTTTGAGATGTGGTTGTATCGAAGGATACTAAAAATTCCATGGACTAGCAGAACCAGAAACGAAGAAGTTCTTCGAAGAATGGGACATCAACGAACTCTATTAAATATTATTAAGAGGCGTCAACTAGAATATCTTGGACATATAATCAGAGGACCAAGATATGAGTTCCTTCGACTAATTCTCGACGGTAAAATCGAAGGAAAGAAATGGATAGGACGGAAGAGACTCTCTTGGTTGAGAAATTTGCGGCCGTGGACAGAATTGACAGCGGACCAATTGCTACACGTAACGCAAGACCGAGATCAGTATAATAATATTATAAGCATGGTAGTCGCCGACGTTCCGTAGGGATATGGCACTCTAAGAAGAAGAAGATAATCAATTATAATCAATTTCTGATTTAGGATAGGAATCACACGTACACCCACTTATTCTCCAGATCTGGCTCCGTCTGAACATCATGTCTTTCTTCAACTCGAAAAATTAAACTCGAAAAATTTTCTTCTAACGAAGAGGCTGTGGAAACCTGCTTTGAGTGGCAAGATAAATTTTTTTTGAAAGGCATAGGGGCGTTGCAGATTCGTTGTAATAATCGTATTCAAATGCCAAAAGAGTATGTTAAATAACAAAAAAGTTTTGACTTTCAAATTTTGTTTAGTTCTAGAATAGGCTAATAGTTTTTCAATATAACCTCTTTTTCTGTCTTTTGAAACATTTTATGTTGCAATTGAAAGATTTGGTAGTTTAAAAGAAAATATAGTAAAAGTATTAGTTTTACTTTAGTCGTAAACTGATGTTTACCACTAAAATTGCAACAAAAGACAAAGAGAACGATATATATTTTTTGAATAGATCATACCTGAGGTTGCCGTACTGAGATTTACTGGTCCATTTCTCTTTGAGCTTTCGTAATCGTCCCCAGGTTCTTGTTTAATTGGTATAAGCGATATGGACGGGGTGATGTTGGTTTCTTGGTCAATTCGCAAACTATTCGGCTGTATATGACTGCTAGAAGGAGCGTTGGAGTTTGAGTCCGCAGATTGGGGAGAGTTTGGACATTCCCCGTTCATGCGAGATTCGCCACTTTGAACTGGTTGGTTGGAGTTTTGCGCATCTCCCTAAATTACAAATATTTTTTAAAACACCTCTAATTAATGTAATTAACTTTATAAAAGACATCGAATTAAGAACGTCTAAAAGCTTATGCTCCAGTATCACACTACGTCATGTTTTGCATGGCATGGCTCCTGGTAACAGAAAAATGGTGTTTAATAGAAACACTTACCGGAGATGGTGGAAAAACGGGTACGGGCGCATCAGTCATGGAAATTTCCACATGAGGTGTCAAAAAGTGCATAGGCGGAGTGGCATTATCCGTGGATCGGGCCCCCGTGGAATCTCCAGAGTCGCTATAGTTGGCTCCTCCTGTTACGCTTACAGATAGACTACTAGTGAGTTGACTTAAAGAATTAAGCGTTCCATCCATAGCAAAACCTTGTTGAGCAGCAGCTGCGATCAAAGAAGCTTGAGAACCTGCTGGGCCTGGATTATCCAGATCTATTCCGTGTCTAATAACAACAAATTTATTACGTTGTCTTATAAGACTTTAGAAAGTTATCAGTTACCTTACCTATTAAAGAAATGTATTCTTAGACTCTTCATAGATCCAGCTCTATAACTACACAACGGACAAGACTTGACAAGATCATGTTGACCAACATGCTCGTTTTGGAAATGAGCTCTCATGGCAATCTGTCTTTGGAAACCTCTATTACATATCGGGCAATGGAACGGCAAGGTTTTGGTGTGCGTGGTAAAGTGTTCAGCAAGATGGTCCTTTCTAAAGAACCTTTTTTGACATACTCGGCATTCGTAGGGCTTTACTCCGGTGTGACGCATCTTGTGGCGACGCATATTTGCGCCGTTGGAAAATCTCATTTTGCAGACATCGCATTCGAACATTTTGCGATGGACTCTGTCGGGCGATGGGTTGTTGTTTTCAACCTAGAAACAAAAAAGACGAAAAATGAATATAATTGTTGTGTCAAAAAATAAACGAGTAGTTGATGGGCATTGCTAATGACTTCTTTGGACTTGAGACAAAGATATTATCTCGGAAAGTGGTTTAATTGCTAGTGCAGCTACTTTTTAGAGCAGGAATAAGAAGAATACAAATAATAATCATAATGATCGTTAACCCTCAAATGAAGACGACACCTTAAGAATAACGATAACACTATCAATTGTACTGTATTTTGTACGATCACAATTATCATATGACCATCAGACCAATAATGAAATATGATTCAGAAACAAGACAGCTAGGACAAAGGCTACTGGAAACGGCAGAGGTGAGAGTACTGAGAATAATTACAGGAAATACTCTGACAGATCGAAGGAAAAGTGAAGACATTAGAAGAAAATGTAACGTACAGGGTATAAATGAATGGTCACAAAATAGAAAAAAAGAATGGAATAACCACATAAGAAGAATGGAGGAGACTCGTGTCGTCCAAATTGCAAGAGATAAGTCACCAATCAGCAGAAGTATCGGGCGAACGCGCAAAAGGTGGAGTGACAACCATCCAAAGAGGTATTATTCCGCCAATGAACAAGCAGAATTGCTTATAAAGAGGAAGGAGAACAAGAGAATTATTAATTAACACACACAAATACACTCGATCACAAACTACACCAACATGCCACGAACACGATCAAAAGCACGAAAACAAAAAGATCCACCAAAACCACCAAAATCATCAGACACAGAATGGGGCACGTTCAGAAACACATTCCACAACATCACACACATCACAACTGTCTATCACTATAGATGGACACGAACCAAGGACACGGCAGGATTGAACACATCACACACAACATATACAAAAACAAAAAATCACCAGTCACACTAGAGATCATTAAAAACATAGTATACAATACCTTCGATTTCACAATACCCGGATTCCCACCCATACTCTCACCATCACCCTCACCACCATCCGCACCCATACTCCCACCTATCCCAACACTCTCCACCCTTAAACAGACACACGCAAATACTACATCACACTAATCCCCAAGAGGTTTTCTAGCCATAGAAAATTTCTCAGAACCCTCAAAAACCATAATCTCCTCGGAGATATCCCTTTCAGCCTGGAAATGGAACCATCCGAAAACCAGGCCATCCTCTACACAACAGATCCTATTTCCAACATGAGAGAATGGGAAAAGGATCATAACCATATCCAAGCGAAGACCCTTAGAATAAATAGACACAAACAACACAACACCAAGAATACTCACCACAACAAAGAAAACACAAAGAAACATACAGAGCAACACAACCCTGGTTCTTCCACATCCAAAGCAGATTCACCATACTACGATCCTCCATCCCCTAACCCCTGCAACCACACCCCTCCCCCTGCCCCACAAACACAAGACGCCCTAAGACACACTCATATATACACGCACCACACCTCAGCAAACAACACTCTCCTAACCTCAAACAGCCAACACACAAAATACACAGCAACCACCCCTTTCCAAAATTATAGAATCGAGGACATCCCCTTAGATATCTGTCAGCAGAGACCTTTCTACCGACTCATCAAAGACCACAACCGCTTTCCCCATTTAGACGCAATCAAAGTGTTCCCACCCCAAAAGATAGCTTCCGTGCGAACTACCGAACCCCTCGGTTATACACATCACGGCAAAACTCGGAAAAATCACTCGAGATGTCATGATCTTAATACACTCAGTCAAACCCCTAAAGCCCCGTCCCGCTCCAAACGATCCACAAACCTTTCACCTAGTCATTGCCGGAGTCGACCAACACCTTTCCCAGAAAATCATCGAGAATAACCTATCCGAAAACAGATTTCCTTTCACCAAAGTAGTTCGCATAATTGCCCGCTCCACAAACTAACCCACCTTTTATATCAGAGTTTTTACGAACTCTGAATCTAAATTCTTCGATGCACTTTCAAACGGCACCAAGATCGAAGGAGTATGGCTAAATTGTGAGATTCCAAAATCTAACAATTCCGTTCCGGTTCGACTGAAATACTGTTCGAAATGCTACAAAGGCAGACATCTCAGCAACGAATGCCCAGAAAAGTCAGATATCTGTTCATTCTGTGGGAAACAACACAGGTCCACTGCATGCCCCACGATATCTAATCCAAAATGCCCGAACTGTAATGGACCCCATCCGCATTCTCACCAAGATGCCCACACCGCAATACACAACCTAAAAACATCAAACAAACCCAACCCGTACACTCACCCAAACAAATCCCTTCATACGACCTTTATTCTGATATGAAATCCTTAATTTATTTCACTTCCATGATCCTTTTTAATGTCTTCCCTGAAAAAAGGAGTGACACCATCCGTTATCTCAACCAAATGTCCAACACACTATATGGGTACGCCATAACTACCTCTAGTTATAATATCCTAATAAACCAATCCTTTACCCAAATCCGCACATAAACACACTTAACAACACTAACATGCACACCGATTTACACATATTATCACCCACACAAATCATTCAAATATACACTTATTACCCACATATGCACTTTACCTACACCAAGCTCACAATCGTAAACATATAAAAATCCAGAGAAAAAGCCAACACACAATCATAACTACACCTACATACCAACAATCCATAAACACACACACCAACATTAAACAACAAACAATGAGCACCACACACACATCACACACTCTTAGAGTCGAATTCAAATCACAAAGACAGGGAGAGATTGGTTTTCTGTGCTTTCCCAATCTGATTGCACAACGATACCTGATCCTAGGTGAGGACATAGCTACAGCTATCCCACGCGTTGAACCCAAACAAACAAAAGGCAAAAAATCTGAAAAGGACCGTTTTCCCACGGAACTTGTACTCAGTATCGGATAAGCTTGGTTCAAGCAGCTCCAATCAGGCGGAAATAACTCAAACAAAAATACCACCCTTGAAGAGGCACAAAGCCTAAACAAGATGAAAACAAAGGTGTCATGAAGATAATTATCATAAATTTGTTACTGTGAAGAACTTCAAAGATCTGATGATTAATATTAATTTAAAACATGAAAAAAATCTCCAAATGTACAGAGAACTGGATAATTGTTAATATATTGATTGTCTTACCTCCATTTCGGTAGCTTCGTTGGTCGTGTGAACCTTAGTTACGTGAGCAGTTATTTGGGCTTGAGTACTAGCTTCAAAATCACATTTGGTACATTTTATAGTATCGACTGACACGAAGTTCATGTTTGAACCAGTTACCACTCGATCAGCTTCGTTTTGATCTACATCATCGTCTTTGTGTGGCAGGCGGCTCGTCGCTACACCACTGCCTGAATCAGCTTCATTCTCAGCAGTAGTGTTAGCCATGATCACCGCCTGTAGTCGCTTTTAAATGTTACAGCAGCTGTTGATTCCATTAACTTCTGCAATAGATACATAATGTATAAATGTGATATCAAGAATTTTAATTTTAAAACTTAACAAAAATTATATATAAAAAAATTATTTAAATTTTTTATTTATATCACACCCTTTCAATTTTGTTATCTCGGGTTTTAATCGTGCTTCAATATCTATACTTTACACCTGATGGGTTAGATCCAAAGAATAACGGAATAAAACAACATAATATGATATGAAAATAATGTAATAAAATAAATTGATTAAAATACCTCCAAAAATTATTAGAATACAATGTTTATCAATCTAAAATCGAGCTTATTATTCTACATAAACAAATCAAGTAATATTCAGTGTCCTTCCTAATGCAATTTTGCTATATCGATTGTACCAAGAAAAATTTGTATGAATTATCTTCTCTCCACAGCTCCGTCCCCTCTCAGAACAAATTTGATCTCCTTCGACTATCGGCAACTTATTCACACGTTACTAATATGGTATAATATTATTTGACCCAAAATTCTCAAATTGATATTAATTATGAATGTTTCTCCCGTTGAAACGCTTCCTCTGCCTTGAGTTGTCCAATTCCTCGTTCTATGCAAAATAAACTATCAGTTCTCAGCAGCCTCCTATGTAATTGGCAATATTAAACAAGATATTGTAATTTAGTGTCTTTAATCAAAAATCTGTAGTACAATCAAACAGCGGTCGTACGGGTGGTAGATAGTGAGACAAACCAGGTGGAAATTCAAAGAGAAGTCAGACAGGGATGTGTGCTGTCGCCACAATTATTTAATGTGTACTCCCAACTAATATTTCAGGAGGCACTATGGGAAAGAACTGAAGGTGTAAGGATTGGAGGGAGCATCGTTAATAACATAAGATTTGCAGACGATACCGCAATCATGGCAGAGAATATAGACGATTTACAAACTCTCCTGAAAATCATTAACAGAGAAAGCAAAAAGATGGGACTAACAATGAATATAAATAAAACCAAATACATGGTGATCTCAAAAAACCCTGTTGACAACATACAACTGACATTGGAGGGTAAACCCCTAGAGAGAGTCGACAAATATAAATACCTCAGAGCAATAATAAACTCACAGTTAGATCAAGAGCAGGAGATAAAGGTCAGAATAGAAATAGCTCGAAAAGGCTTTATAAAATACAAGTCAATGTTTACAAATAAGAAATTGAGTATGGCCATCAGATTAAGGTTCGTTGAATGTTATGTTTGGTCGCAACTACTATATGGGGTAGAAGCTTGGACTCTGAAAGCCCAATCTATAAAAAAATTGGAGGCATTCAAAATGTGGCTATATAGGCGTATTTTGAAGATTCCTTGGACTGCAAAAGCCTCAAATGAGGAAGTGTTAAGACGAGTTGGACATGGCAGAAAGCTTATGAACACAATTAAAATAAGAAAAACATCGTATCTGGGCCACATACTCCGAAACGATAAATACTCTCTGCTACAAGTCATCATGCAAGGTAGAGCAGGGGGAAGAAAAGGCTTGGGAAGAAAGAAGAAATCTTGGCTGAGGAATATCAGAGATTGGACTAACCTCAGTGTTGAACAGATATTTCACGTTGTAAAAGATCGAGAAGCGTTTAAAGAAGTGATCGCCAACCTTCGTTAGAAGATGGCACAAGAAGAAGAAGAAGAAGTCTTCAATGCTCTCCTTCGAATGCACGTACCTTTCCAATGATGCCAGCCTCTTTTCCACTCGCCAAACTTAATCTCTTCTTCCGAAATAAACAGCGATGCGTAGAATACAAGTAGGAAAAGTTTACTTACAGATTTGTACCAGATCAGCTACCGTCTGACACATTTATTTCACTAACTCACAACTTATTCTTTATCACTTACTACCCCTGGAGACCACCTCGAAAACCAACCATTCACTTTAAGAAACTGGAACTAACTAACTATCTCATGTCCTCTATCCATCCATCCAACCTCTCATTATACACACCCATCTCATCACTTTCCAAATTCTCGGCCAATCAGAAATTTGCATACCACTCCCCACATAAAATCAGAAATACCTACAAACTTTCCTAATTCATATTATTTCTACAAGGACAGTTAATTTCTACTGGATATTTACAGATTCCGAAAAACCATTTACTTATTAACTTTTTTTATTGTCCTGTTCATGGCGCAAACCCGGATTACGGAACACTTTATGGCTTATGGGAAACAACTATCGTTACCTTCTATTTATTGTACCCGCACTATCCACTTGTTATATATACAAAAGATTATTTATGACTAAGATTACCTTTGGTTAATTCCAGGCAGTTCGGAGTATTTTTACTTTCTATAATCTCTGAACTATTGATTTCATCGTACATTTAATATCTTTACTCTTCAATTTTGAGTACCACAACAGTATATAAATTTCTTCTAATAAAGATTTTGATAATTTTTTAGCATCATTTCAAAATTATGAAAATTATTAAAATCAATTTTTAAAGAAAAAAATATGAATTTTTTAAATTTTAAAAACTTAAATGTGTGGTGTTATTATAAAAAAATGGGTGTGGCAGTCCAGTGGGACTGTCGGTAGAAGTTATACTTCTATACACGCGTTCGCCGTTACATATTTATATGGGAGTCAATCTGCACAATCATTACATATGTAATGCTATAGGCAAGAGAAAGCAGAAAGAGAAACAGAATTATAGACGAGTCAAGTTAGTAGAAAATAAGCGTTTTTTCGTCACAAGTGTATAGACGGGTTTGACAGTTGAAATGGATAGTATGAGATATTACAAAAAGACTCTCATCTAGGGATTCATGAATTTTTTAGTGGAACTATTTTTAAATAAACAATTAAGACGTCAATATCATTATTTTGCTCATAACTTATAAACTTGTCTATTTAGAGATTTGACGTCCACAGACGAGATGTTGAGAAAGAAAAAATACACAAAACGAGATATACTAAATTAAAATCGGTTAATAAACAAAAAAGTTATTGCATAATAACCAAGCAAAACGGCTGTTTTTGATTATTGTTAATAACTCTTTAAGTAATCAATAAAATTTATTTAAATGTATCTGAACTTAAAGATCTCATCGTGTTCAAAGTGTGTGCGAAAGATAGGCTAGATCCGTCAAATAGTTTTTGCACAATTTAATTTGTTTATAAGATTTTTTGAAAAATGCACAAATTTCTAAAGCCGGTCCAGATAATTTGACTGAATGGATCTTAATAACCCGGGGCTTATTTTCTTCGATGAGACATATACTAATAGCCTGTGGAAAAAAAAGTTAAAAAAAATTACGTTTATGTACACAAAATGATTTATTAATAAATAGCACTTTTTAAGTTTATAAACATTTACAAATAATTTAATTTACTGTAATTTTCTACGCTTTATTTCTATATCGTCACTGCTACTACTATGTAAACATTCATCTTCACTTTCATCTTTAATTTCACTTGTATTATAACTTTCATAAATCATTTCATTTTCATTGTCGCTATTCTCATCAAACCCAGTTAAATACATGTCATCAATAATCTCTTGTTCATCTGTTGTATCGTTTTCTTCTACATTAATAATTTCATAAATATTAGTACATTGAATTTCTATGCATGTACCGCACATGTCTGTACATTTGAAGCCATTTTTGCGACAGGTACATGTTTTAGTTTTGCATCCTTTTTTGCAATTGCATTTGATTGAATTAGCTAATTCTTCAGGAACCATGGGATCAGATGAATATATAGGTGTGAAGTTCTGATCAATTATTTTCCATCCCCATTTTGTAGGGTCTTTCTTCACGCCCAACCATTCCTGTACTTGAAGTTATACTCTATAACTATGCTGCTCTGCACTACCCTTTGTAGGTGGCAACTTTTCCAACTTAACGCTTGTATTCAAAGCAGCATTCTTGAAGTGGTAAAATCGTATTTCACCCAAGTCACTGTTTTCTTTTGCGCCATATAAACATGCAATTATTTGCACTTCACTTTGTCCAATTATTTCTGCAGATGTATGTGGTTGGTAAAATTTGGAAGCTAATATTTGCAGATCTTTTCTGTCAGCAAGTAATTTTATTAATTTATTTTTAAAATTTAAAATAAAAATAGAAATATTTAATAATTTTTCCATATAAATAATATCATAGTTTCATTTTCACGTATACTTATATATACGTATACCTATATATCACAACACGTAGTTTTTGTTTAATATTCAGATGAATTTTACTTACCATTAATTATTTGTAACAATTATTAAATAAAACAAAACACTAAATATTTCAATACAACAAACCGGTTGTATAGTCACAGGAAAATGAGTTGTAAAAACTAACAGCATCTGCTTTCGACGGGCGCTCGACTTTTTTTAGAGCGCGGCTTGAGTGCAATCGGCAATCCCCACTCCTTCCATTTGAGTCGGAACGCAAAGTACTCTTGGTTTACAACACTCCTGTTTAATCGATTTTCAATTATTTTGTTTGCTAAATATTTTGTTAAAAACTTTGACTTTTCTTCTAAAAGATTGGTTAATTTCAACCCTTAATGTTGTTAATTGACGTAACAGTGATTTTTTAAAAAAAAAGGACTAACTCGGCTCCTAATGGTCGCAGGACCTTTTTTTTTTTTTAAGTTGTGTTTTTTAACCCGCCTTCCGAATATTTTATTGCCATTTAATTTAAACTAAATAGTACGGAGTTATTGTAAATGTTTATAAACTTAAAAAGTGCTATTTATTAATAAATCATTTTATGTACATAAACGTAATTTTTTTTAACTTTTTTTTCCACAAGATATTAGTATATGTCTCATCGAAGAAAATAAGCCCCGGATTATTAAGATCCATTCAGTCAAATTATCTGGACCGGCTTTAGAAATTTGTGCATTTTTCAAAAAATCTTATAAACAAATTAAATTGTGCAAAAACTATTTGACGGATCTAGCCTATCTTTCGCACACACTTTGAACACGATGAGATCTTTAAGTTCAGATACATTTAAATAAATTTTATTGATTAC